CTAGGTTTTTGGAGCCTTCACCACTATTTTGGGTTTAAAGAGAATTTAAGGAGGATTGTAGCCCTAATCTTCCCTCATTTGCAGCACATGTCCAAGTGATCCCATTGGCACCATTAGGTGTGTAGATCTCTTACATATGCCCATTCAAAAGGACACACTGGCCCTGTGTGTTGTGTTCCATGTTTCACAGTATGTAATTTGTCACTAAGACTTGGAGTAGCACATCCACCACCTGTGTAATTTACCACATTGAAAGGGCTTGCGTCACTGATTCTCTCTGTTTCTTAGTGTTCTGGAGATTCCAAGATGCTATTAGGCTCACTAATATGTAGCATGTGAAACTGTCCTGCATGTTGAACCAGATGATCTTTAAAGGTCCCTTCCAACCCAATACATCCTATGATTCTATGGTTCTATGTCCAGACAGTTCTAGTGGATTTAGCCATGGATTCTTAGGTCTATATTTTCAAGTGGATGAGGCTGCAATAAAGCCCGATAGAAAGGGTGGCAAGCAAAAGGCATATTTTGCTCCTTGGTATTAAGTTAGATCCCTCTTCCCATATTGCATCCTGAAACTATAAGCCCCCAGCTACTCAAGCCCAGGACTGGATTGAACCATGTAATGGCTTTCTTCCAGGTGGTGCACCTGAGTCCAAGGACATAAGAGGAGGGAGGGTGAACACCCAGATCCAGGAAAGCAACCCTCGGTTATACAGCTTAGACATAAATTTGCCTCTTGGAACCAAAGCTCAGTGTTTCAACTCCAGGGTACATTTCCTCAAAAGGCTATAAGAGACATGGGAGATTCATGGGAGTAATACTAAAGAACAAATAAAAGAAAAATGAGTTTATTGTGAGGCTAAGGGACATACATCTTTGATTTTGGGGAGCATTCAGAGTGATCTTTGTGGAAGAAGTCCATCTGTCACTATGGCAGGCTGAAGCCTATAACCTGGTTTGTGTATTCAAATTTTTCACCATGTTCGTACTAGCCGTAGTGCTTGACTTACCATATTCCTCCACACTGAAGGAGTGCTCCACATGGGAAGTGAAGCTCTTCTGCACGACTATTTTGTAGGAGCCTTGGATGGGCTCAGAGGTGAGGGGGAAGGAGAGCTGTGTAAGGCCGGTCTCCAGTTCTACCCCTTGCCACTGGTACACACGGTTCCTCTGGGGATCCTGCAGGTGAGGATAACTCAAGGTCACAACACAGTACAGGAGGCATCCAGGGACAGAGCAGTGGAGCACCCAGTATATAAACTTCCTAGCTGTGATTATTCAATAATCTTCGAGGATCTGTGAGCACTTACCTGTCAATTCTGCATAACTAGCATGACAGAAAGCCTTTTAACCCTGGAGGTCCTGTGCTGTCTCCCCCTCAGGTCTACCCGCATGCCTGTGAAAGATGGGGCCAGGAAGCTGAGAAAGATAGGCTGACAAGTTAACAAGACAAAGAGATGGATAGCAGGAGTAAGTGGGGCACAGGGGAAAAGGAGGGAAATTTCAGTCTCCTTCACTTGTTATACAGCCTCCTAAAAGTTTTTTTCCATGCCTGGAATAGAGACTGAGTACTAGTACACATTCTGCTGAGGAATGAGACACCTGATCTGCTTACGGGACTGAGAAATGTACAAGTGTAAGACTCCAAAGCTTGTGGTGGGGTCAGGGAGTGGGGACAGGAACAGAGGAAAGTATATCCCACATACGTGCATCCAGCTATGTATTGGTCATTATGAATGAACTACCAATAGGTTGTGCTCCAGATTCATCAGCTCAGCCTCAAATGTCTTGTAGAAGTCACTGAGACAACGCGGTGGTGCTGCGTAGTTTGATGCACCCTTTCCAGTCTCCTCAGCAGGATGGTTAATATTTACAGTCTTTCATTGTCTGCCTGGTCTTTGCATTGTACCTTGGCTGCCACCAAAAGTCTGTTTACTCTAGATAGGTATGTGACTCAAGGTATGTGACTGAGTGCATTTACTTCACTGAGACTTTACCTCAGGGCTTAGAGAAAAGGGGATGTGAATGACACCACCCAGCTGGTGGTCACTGGTCAGAGGGCAGAAGAGTGGGCCCTCTTCTCAAGAAGCACCCTGAGAGGAAGGCATAGTCAGTAAAATACATCCCATGACTCTGAACAAATACTCTTCATCATCACACTTCAACCATACTGAAAAGCTCAACACTTACTGTGAGGGACACTACCAGGCTTCCTTGGAGGAGAAATTCAAGAAAACGTTTACTTGTTGCCATTTCTGTGATGAAAGTCAGTTTGTTTGTTTTTTTCCTCAGATGGGCTTTTTATTTTTTTTTAATGACAGAAGCAATAGGTCAGGATAATAGTTCAGAAATAATAAGCTTATACTAATTTACATCTTTGTGGCTGACTACAACTAATTAGTGACTTTAAGGATGTGGCTGAGAAACATTTATTTCCTTAGCACTTCTGACTTTAAGTTGTCACCCTTTTCACTCCTGTCACCCTTTCTTTTGGGCCAGTCTAAATTTTGTGTAAGTGCCTGGTAAACTACCCTGGTAGATCTGACCTGGCCAAAAAAAGTACCCTAGAGAAAAAGGATGAATTTGCTGCCAGATGAGTTTCCCAGTCTACCAGACTGCTTTGTAGACATCTGTGAAAGACAAACAAAGGGTAGTGCTGGACTGAGAATGAGCACTGAGGAAGTGAGAGGTAATGGTGGGGATGGAGCTGGCTTAAATAGCATGGAAAAACACCATGCCTCAAAGGCTGGAGCTGAAAACACAGGATGGCCTTCCTAGTAATTTAAAAATTAAGCCTTTCATGGTACTGACACAAAAAAAGGGTTATGAAATTATTCAGCTTGTTGGGCAAAGGCATATGGGATTTCTGGAGGCAATGGATAGGATTTATTTCTTCTTTTTCCTTTCATGAAATTCCTGTACTCAGTCAAGTATCATCTCATCGAAAAGGAAGGGACCTGTTCTACAACCTCCGGGGAGAGCCTCAGCAGAAGATAGTTCTGAGGTGCTCTCCTCCACCTGTTGCCCCAAACCACACACTCTCTTACTCTTCTTTCTCCAAATATTCACAGGCTGTTAGTGGCCCACCAGCCCCGGAGCTCTGTTCTTGTAGTTTGCTGAGGGGAACAGAGAAAGTGACAGCACTCTGACAGGAGGGTACTAAAGGGGAGCATAGCCCGTTTCTGGCACATATCCTCTGCCTCCCCCATTATGACAACACTTCCAGCTGTAGAGAGGGACAGAGTAGAATGGTGACAGCAACCCCAAGCAGCAAAGAACAATGCCAGGACTGACTACATAGGAACCATCATCATGCAAATCGACTTAAGATTTGTGCACAATAATTTCAGCATTGGTTGTGTTGTTATCATGGCTTCAGAGGCCAATGCTTGGTCCTTCCTATCAGTTTTCCACTAGAAGATGTCCCAGATAATAACTTTAAATTCTGGTTTCTCAGCTGAAAAAGTGAGTACTCAGATCATTGACAGAAACATCCTTCCTATTAACATTTGTCTATCACAGAAGTTCAACCAGTTTAAAAAACCGCAACAAAACAAACAGGCAAGATGGGCATGCTTAAGAAAATAGGGAATGTCTACTTACAAAATTTTGTTCCTTTAGTTTTGCTAGTTTGTTTAATGCATTTCTATGGTTTCAGCCACACTTGGCAGACATAAAATCTTAGATTTGCTTGGGAAGAGGAATAAGCCATTCTGATTTGACCTCTAAGCAAGTGTAATTCTGTTTACAGCATGGCTTGCACTGATTAACTATTCTGCTCCTACAGCACATTCTCTGATCAAAGAACCATTGTTGGAGCTTATTTTGATGCCCAATTATTCAGCCTTCCTTTACACAAAGGAAAAAGTTCAGGCATCCTTGTTTTTTCCCTTGTACCTCAGACTGAAAATACCCCTGCTGGAGACTACTATCTCTGTGTCTCCACATTCTACTGAAATAATATACATGTAGTTATCTACTCACCTGAACATAGACAAATGGAAACTGTCGGGAAAGAACAAAGGAAAATCAGAGTTAGAAATGTGGGTCACATGTGGATGGAAGCAATTTCCAGGTTTCGACTGAAGGGTAGAAAATCAAGCTTCGAAGTCCTTTCTCCCTTTTCTGTGCTTGCTCTGTTTCCTTAGTTCTTGATGGTTAAGGGAATCTCTTCTATTAATAACTTAGATCCCAAACTTTCTGACTTACAAAAATGTGATGAAGTAGGAGTTTTCAAAGAACTTGTCTGCATGAGGAACTTATTGCCAAATAAGGTAAAAGGTAGACTTACACCCCTGACCAGTTCTTTAAAACAAAGTCCTTGTCCTGCTGCTCTCTCTGCCTCTGAGTATGACATTGCATCCACTGCCAGAAATATCTGCGCAGCTATTCCTTTCAATGGAAGCTCATCACACCCATTTTTTCAGTAAGGAGATCCCTGCCTACATGCTTCACCATATACATTCCTTTGCAAATCTGGTTTTAAAATAACACTGATATCCCTATGAAAAAGGAGGTTTCCCAGTCAATAGAGACAGGTGGACTGTGTCCCAGGACAAAGTATGGGATGAATCAAGGATGGTGTGAATAAGAATGGATCACACACTTTAAAGGCCATCTTCAGTGGGTCTGGATGATGACAGTAATGGTGTTAATTGAGAATTGCAACATCTGGTTAGCAACAAGGAATTATGGCTCTACCTTCTCATTCAGCGGGTAGAAGTCTTTATCCAGAGAGACAATCCGAAACAGAACTGAAAGGTGTAACAGAAAAGAAGGAAATTCCACTGTTAACTTTATAGAAATTACCAGGAAATGTCAGTGTTTCAATAATTTATAACTCGGATTCGTTCCACTGATCAACAGGCTCTGAATTGAGATCCCTAAGTTATGGAAGCAATTACTTCAGGCTCTTTCTCTTGCAGATGGTGAGGCAAATAAATTTAGAAGGATAATCAGGTCTTGGCTGAACTGAACTGTCCCTTGGGAGTGCCTGTCCTCCTTTGTTGATTCAGGTGCAGCCAAGGGAGACTATGCTTTGAAGTTATCCCAGATTCGTGCCTCTAGTTGAGTAGAAAGAATCTGAACCTGTGCCTACATCTGCCTGAGATGCCATGCCGGAGGGATGAAGAATAGGATCATGAAGGTACCACATGCCCTGTATCTCAGCTGACAGAAATAAGATTTACTGTGGGCTTTAACTCCCCCCACTAAGAAGCCTGAAGACTTTAATAAAAGTATGGGGCCTCTGGGGAATGAAGTCCATAAGAATTTCTGCTGTCAGAGTCAACACCAACCCAATTAACTGTACCTGTCTGTCCCGGCTTGTAGATGGGTTTGTCTGTCTGGACGAAGACCAAGCTCTCAGAATTCTTGACCAGCACTGACTTGCGGCTCCTGAATTGCAGTGTCTCCCCCTTCACTGTCACAGTGAGAAATGCCACTGATGTGCTATTGGATTTTGGAAGCTAAGGAAAATGAAGAGGAAAACTGCTTTACTGGTTCACCCCATTGCACTAAGCCTTTGAAGGATGGAGTCTTAGTTATGTCCAAAAGTTCCCTAAAGGGACACCAAAGACACAATGCCGGAAACAAGAGAAAACCATAATTTTCTGACATGAATTTGGAGGGCTCGTCTCCTCTATCTCAAGAAAATCTTCCTTCAGGAATTGTCGAAATGATAGATTTTCTCCATTTCCTTGAGTTTTTTCAAAGCTTCTTTCCACCTTTCCTTCATTTATACACTTTCCTCAGAGAAATATTGAATCTGACCCTATGGTTTATAAAAACAGAAATTTTTATAATTTACCCAGATAATTTATAATAAAACCCAGATTTATTATTTAGAGGGTGGGACCAGCTGTTTATATTGCTCACCAACCAGCTTTCTGCAGGAAACAATCATGAATAAGCTTAAGAAGAGACAAATGACCTCATGGTTTTTATGACCACTGTCTTTAACCATTCCCCAGCTTCTACAGTTCTCATTCCACTTCACTGTTTTTCCTCTAAAGCTTACACAGATTAAACAAACATGGAGTACTTTCTGTCAGTTAAATTTCTAGGATTAAGGATCCCCAAAGAGTTCTCTAAACCCTGAGTGCACAGCAATATCATGTAGGACACAGAATTTTACAATGGTGGAAAATTATTCCTCCTAAAGCTACCACAGTCAATTTTCCACATCAAATTCATTTTACATTTGGCTTATCTTAAAAGTCTCTGTTTGCAACATGTCTTATTTCTGGACTGTTTAGATCTACTATGCCACATCAATAAACACAAGGGATCATCCCACAAAGATGGGATACTCACAGAGAAAGGGATGCAGGTGAACAAGTCCTTCTCCGACACCACGTCATCAATCAAGCTCCTGTTTTCCCCTTGGTACTCGAGAGTGGCACTCAGTGTCACAGACTCGTTCAGGTGGGTCAGCTGAACACAGACTTTCTCAGAAGAATCGGTGTGTATCAGAAAGGGCAGTAGCACCATGTACTGCCTAGGAAGACAAGGAAGCAAGGATCAGAAGGATGAGAAATGTGAAACGGTTTTAAGGAAACAGTATTAAGTGAAAAGAAATGAACAAATCAGCATGCCTAATCCATTACTGTCCCTGTGAATTGCAGTGCATATACACACACGAGCATTCACTTTATTTTGGGTTTATACATATTAAACTGCCCAACTAATTAGCCTAAAAGCAGGAAAATGATTGCTGTAGAAGGAACAGTTTCTATGCTAATAGAGTCCTTTATAAAGGATGTTTTGTTCAGCTTCACAGCAGGGAGTAAGGACGGTGTGAAAGGTTCCAGGCTGTTAATTGATTTTTGTGTATCCCACAATCTCCTATTGAGACTCAAAGGCATTAGCTAAAAAAGGTTGAAAATTCAGCAGTTTTAGGGTTGAAAAAGCCACCCACTTGTCTGGCTGCTGCTGTCTTTGCCTTTCCAGGTTTCCAAATCCTTCTCATGCTGAGCAAAAATGTAAGTGCTTGTGGACTGGGACCCTAATTAAAATGAGCACACAAAGGATTTCAGAAAGTAGTGGTTTATTGCAAAATAAGCATACTTGCATCTTCAAAGAGCTTTTGACAAAGACCCCTCCCAAAACTAAGGAAGGGGCCTAACAAAACCCTTAAACTAAGCTGTCATCCAATAGAGGGGATAATTGTAATAATTTTTACTAATATATCAGTTTATTAATTTTGACCTGTGCTAACTGTTTAAAAGATAGGACATAAAGGGTAAAAACCAGTTAAAACCTCTGGAGTCTGTGTTGGAATCCCTGTTGTTCAGTACAATTTCTAATGATCTGGGAAGTATCATTTTCTGATAATTTTCCAGGATACGAAAACATCTAAAACTGGCTTACATATTTGTGGAAAACTTTTGTTATATGGTGGGACTGTGTATCAAAACGGCAAATGAACTGTTCATAAAGGGAAAAAATCAATAGAGGAAGAAAAATATTACCCCAACTGTATACATGCTATCATTTATATCGTGTATTGCTAAGTGGGCTATTACCATTTAGACATGATCTGAGCGATCACTCTTGGAAAATCCTCTTTCAGGGATAAATAACAAATGGACTGTAGGGAACTGTTCAGAAAGGAACAGAGGACAAATCAGAAAACATTGTTTTGCTATTGTGTAATTGCAAGGTATTTCCACATCTCACATACAATGTGCTGGTTTACTCCCATTTAAAAAGTTTATTTAGCAGAAAATATTCAGTGAAAGATGGTAGAGATTATCTGAAATCTGGAATGATTTCCATAGGAGGAGACATAGATTAAGAATCTTCATTTTGAAAAAAGGCATGACAGAAAGCTATGAAGTCATGATGTGCTCAAAAGAAAGTATGGTTTGTTCATTACTATGACAATATGTGTAGTAAACAACACCAGGTGACAATATTAAGCAGCTGGCTTAAAAATAGAAGGCAGCAGAAACTTTTTCATTAATGTACAGAATTAAACTGAGGAACTTAATGCTACCAGGTGCTGTAAAATCAAAATGTACAATTCTAATATGGCCAGCCTGTGGCTTCTGAGCTTTCTGGTGCTCTCAAGCAGTCCAAGAAGGGCAGGTATACCCAGAATGCATAAGGTGACAGATAGCAGCTGACTGTCTTTCCCTGGGTAAGGAACAAAAGAAGTCAGCAGGTGCCACTGAGTTGGATAATTAGGGCCTTAATTGCATGTCCAGCCAAGTCTAGGCCGTTAAAAGAAGCTGTCACACCCCATTTGCAACTAACTCTCCAAGGCTTGTGGTATGTGCCCTATGGCACTAGCTACATAAAATTTGGTATGAGGCTCATAAGGTCAAGAAGATCAGCTACTCCTGATACGAAGGTTATTAAAAATGTCCTGGATAAATTCATTCCCCACAAATGGCTAGAAAATCTAGCAGCACAGGTGTAATTCCTGCCACAATAAAAGCTTGAACCTCTGATAGAAGCTCCACAAGGCTATAGCAGATGAGAAACTAATTTCCAGAGTACCTGCTCTTCTACTCTCTCTCTTAGCTCCTACAACTGACCACCAACACAGACAGAATGCAGAGTCAATGTAGACCACTGCTCTGATGCTGGACCATTTTTATGGGCCTGGTATTCCCTTTTTCCTGTGCACATCCAAGCTATCCAGACGCAGCAGCAGGAGGTACTGGTGGCAGTTCAGTCTGCAGGGTATTTTAATCACCGTATGCATGGGATGAAACCTGTGGTCAGGACTGCTCATACCCCTTTTCCATGCACCCCCCACTGGAGAAGGCTAATGTGCGCCTTGCCAGATGGTGCCAGCCCTGGGAAGAGAGAGCTTTTGGGAAGTCCTAAAGCTGCTGTGGAGGCAGTGGGACTCTCTATTTCCCTCACCAAGAGTCAAAGGGGATAAAGCAAGGTGAGGAGCCAGCCAGCAACTCTGGTCAGTGCTGCTGCAGAAGCAGAGAAAAGGGGGAGCTCAAGCCACCAGGAAGTGCTTTGCAGCTTGTGACCATCTGCTTGCTCCAGCGCTCTCCTTTCTCCACAGCCTTCCCACCACGGCTTCACTCCATGCCTGCTTCCCCTAATCTTATTGCCCCTGCTCCCTGTAAGTGGCACTGCCAATCTGACTGTAACATCCAGTTTACTGAAGGGACAGTGTGACCTAGTTTGTGGGGAATTTGGCCTCATTCCTCTTCCTGTTCACTGTTCTGCTCAAATTTTGGCTGACATGCAGAACTTCCCCCTATACCGGCTTCCCTGCTTTTGAAAAACAGGATATGAAATACACTGTTTATAGAGCTCCCTTTAGCTGTTTTGAGGTGTTGGTGAAAAGAACTAGATGAATTAAGTACTCTGAGAGCTTTAAATAACTTGGGTCACTGAGTCCATGTATAGACATTCAAAAGAAAAAAACACCTGGGTTGCCAAGAGACCTCAGCAGCGTCCTGGCATGCAACGAACTGTTCTGACAACAGATGCAGTTACACTGTCAGAAGCAGACATCAAGGAGGGACAGAAGACCCTACAGAAAGTGTCTGAGGCAAAAGTGATTAGTTTATCTATATAGAGAAGGTAATATTCTAGCCTAAGATGGACTAACTTTTGTGTATTGACTCTCAGCTACTTCCCAGAACAAACACCCAACCAAAGAGGCTTGTGCATTTCATCAGCTCCACCTGTCCAAATCCACACCTGTCAGTTCATGTCCCATCATGACCTTGCATTTCTGACTAAATGCAGTATATGAGCTATATTCCGTATATACACTGCGCTGTAAAACAGTATGTGGCATAAGCAGCCATGTACCAGAATAGGAGAACAACACCTCCCGTTGAATTCTTCCAGAACAGATCCAGAGCAAGAAAAAGTATATCTTGCTGCTAGTATGTTACAGAACCATAAAATTTTTGGTAGGAAGGGACCTCTGGATATCTCAAATCCAACTTCTCTCCTGGAACAGGACTTTTGGCAAAGGACTCCATAGATGGAGTTTCCACCATCTCTCTGGGTCACTCATTCCAGTGCTGTACTAACCTGGTGAGTTAAGTTGGGTTTTTTTCAGATATCCAGTCTGAACCTCAATTGTGTCTCCTGTGCAGCTAGTCACATCTGAAACAGAAATAGCAGCAACTGCTGCTGCTCCAAGAAGCTACCCCCCTGCTTGTGCCCGGCACAGGAAGCAAGCTTTGGTTGGAGCTTCACTTTGTCTTCAGTTCAAGGGTGGCTTCCCTTCTGTGTTGTACACAGCATCTGATCTACACTGCAGCACTTAAAACAGAACCACTACTCTCCCACCTACCTAGCAATTCACTGCTCATGCGCCACTTGCCTCCCTTCTGGACTTCTGTCTTTATTCTCTGGATCTCAACTATGCCTCTCACTCCCTCACCTCTCTCAGCCCTTCCTTCTTCTCCTCTCCCAAAATGGTGCTCAGGTCAGGGTCAAAGAGCAGCACGCTGCTCACAGGAGGGGAGGACTGAGCAGTATGGATTCGTTCCCTTTCCCCTGATCCTTGGCATAGATACAGTCAGATTACTATGGGGCAACCAGGGAGCTCATCCTGACCCCAAAGCAGACTTGGCTGCTGATCTGCCTCAGAAGCATCCAAACAAGGCAGACGAATGAGGGGGTGATGGTGCAGCATGAGTCAAAGGTCCTTCAGCCTGAGCCTGTCACCAGGTCACCTCTGACCACACAGCAAGCGGCAACAGCAGCGCTGCGCCTCCTGCTACAGCTGCTAGCACTGCTGCAGGGCTTTGTGGGCACGAAATCTCAGTGGCAAGCACTACGAGACCTGCAGTGGTGACAATTGCGCTTCTGCTAGCACAACAAGGAGCACAGTGTGTGACAGCGGCCAGGGTCTGAAGAGGGAGGCTGCTCCCATCCAGACTGGAGGCTCCAGAGCAACACTCTGGTAGGAAAGGCTGTGGCGAGGATGCCAGCCTCCAAATGCCACTGCCACCCCGGATTGCCCCTCTTCCTGGGGCCCACAGCAGAGCGGGTGCCGCAGCTGTGGCTGCTGGTCTGCAGAGCACTGAGGTGGATGCCCCTGGGGAGGGGTGCCAGTACCAGGCTCTGTGCCGGAGGAAGAGAATCTAGGTCACAGATCCTCTTTGGGAACAAGTACATCTGATGCTGCCAAGGGAAACAAACTGGCTTGAAAGAAACAGGAGAAAGAGGAGCAAACTGGCTTGAAAGCAACAGGAGAGTAGGAAGAAATAACTCAGTGATTAAAACAAGGATACTACAGGAAAGGTAAGTACACAGGTTTAGGCATCCTGCCCACAAAAATCCCAGGCACCTGAAGGTTTCTAGGAAGGAATATACTCAGGCAAAGATGTTGTGAGGATCCAGGGCTGGACTAGCAGGCAGCTGCAGAGCAGGAGTGTGGGCACTGCCAGAGCTGTATGGGGGTCCCAGGGCTGGACAACCAGGGGGCTGCAGGATGGGAGTGAGGAGCACTGGCAGAGATGTGCAGGAAGCTCAGGGCTTGGCTGGTAGTGGGATGCAGGGCAGAAGTGGAAGAAACTGGAGAAGCTGTTTGAAGAATGACAGAAGGAAAGAAAATTGAAGGAAAAAGAGCACTAAGACCTCCCTCCCCGCTCCACATGTGTAGCTTACGGTTCTGTGGTGGGAGAGGCATTTCCAGGAAGGAGGAAAAGGAGAAGAAGGAAGATGTTTGGTTTGATGAGCAGCCTGTCCTTCCCCATGGTGCAGAGCAGGTTGTGGTGAGTCAAGCAGACACCCAGCCTGGTCCGGTGCTGCTGTTTTCCTGCACCTTGTAATTCCTCTCCACCCTCTGCTGGGTCAGCCTCTTTATAACTGCTCTCTGTAAACAGCCCAGGGGCTGGAGGAGATAAGGGCTGGGGGCCAGGACCCATCCGGAAACGGGGAGAGGCATGTAAGGAGGAGCTGGAACAGAGGGACAGTATTTGGCCAGAAACTTTCAAGTGGGGGAAGGGTATTTATTGTGTAGTGTTTATATTAGAGATCTTTGAATGATTCATACCCTGCCTTCTTTAACCCATCAAAAATCCACAGTGTTGGGGAAATGAACTATGTTCAACACAGGGTGATGTTCCCTGTGGGCAGCACCCAATCACAGCACTCTGATGCAGAGTACTGTGATATTTTGGAGTCAAAAGCCAGGTTTATAGGTATTTTAAGAACAAAAGGAAACCCACAGGCAGAAACATTGCCCATATTATCTTAACAGAATACTGCAGTAGTTTGTTGACACAGTTGCTAACAGTGATACTATGGGTTAGACAATATGTCAGGAATACAAACCAAAATGAGGTGGGGTACTGGTCTAGATACGGAAATAGGTTCTATTTCCACTGTGAATATGCACAAATATTATGCAACGCTGTTGGGAGACATCCTTGCCTCCCCAGCATGGTGATTATCTTCTGTCATTCAGCATCACCTGGAGTGCAAGTGGTCCAGGTGTTCCTGGTGGCTTGTCCCTCCCTTTGCCAGATTCAGATCTGTGAGTCACGTTTGTAACAGAAGTCACTCAGAAATAGTACTGCCCACTTGACCCAGTCTTTTGCAAACTTCTGGTTGTAGCAGCTTATCCAGAAGTTGAATCTAGTAAATAAAAAAGTCTGCTAAACTGCAGCAGATCACTGAACAGAAATATTCAGCCCAAACTACGAGCATTCTCTGAGATGCCTTGACTAGGCAGGGTATTTACACCAGTCCATGTAAAACTGCAAAACTGCAGCTGTCAGCGTGCCCTACAGTGCCTGTGCAGTGAAAGGATTCCATAACACTCTTTATAGAGATTCATGATCCCTGTGAAGATTTCTGCTATGTACAAATAACTCAGCAGAGAAAATGCTTCAGCACAAAACACCCTGAATGTGTCCATGGGAAGCTACACCAGTGGCAGAATTTCTCTGATCTGTGCAAGGGAGCTTATTAGAACACAGTAGCACAGGCAGCCCTATTTGCTCTTTGCCCAAAGTTTAAGCTTTGAAAAAGAATGAATGTTAATACTGAATGTTAGCTCTACAGAGTGTGTTTACTCTGATATAGTGGCCAGAAAACTGCAGGGAAGAGCTGTGCAAAGGACTAGGAGAAATGTCTGGGGATGAAAGTAAGTTTAACAATGGTGTTTAAAAAAATCAGGCACAGTCTCTCATGAAATAGAATTTAACACCTCTTATAAACCTCAAAAATTAGCAAAACAGTTGGAAGGGAGCCAGTGTCTGCTGGGGGGGAAGTGTTATATAAATGTCATATGGAGAGGGAATGAACACATACTCACGCAAACGAAAAGATATAGCAGATTATCAGTGAGAGATGGAAAAACTGATAAAAAAGTGGTTGTGTAACTACCAAGTAATAAAAACCATACAGATCTTTCTTCAGAAATGACCCCTATTGTCTGTCCTCTCATTCCCATCTTCATCTTCTCCAGTAAATAACTTGTGTAAAATAGCAATTTTCAAAGCAATAGCATCCTGGGCATTTTCTGGAAAACATGACTCACCCCATGTTGCCTGTTGGCATTCAGGCTGCTGTAAACTGAAACCAAAGAGAAATCTGAATGGACACATGCAAAGTACACTTTGAGGATAAGCACGTAAAAAATAAAATTCATAGATCTCCAGGACCATCAAAACCAGCTATTCAGTTGAGATCCTTCTCACTGTAGTCCTCTTCCTTCTACTAACCCATTTACCACCCACAAGGTGTAAAACATCAGCTTCTCAGGCCCCTAGGGAGCACTTACCAGCTGTCTGACAATCCCATGTCCACTTTGCTCCACAAGCACCAGCTGCCCTTGAGCTCAGGCAGGCGGTGCTCAAGCCAGTTCCTCTCTCAGAAAGCTCAGAACAAGTGCTCTGAACTTGTACTTAGCTTGAAAGTTTTTGGTGCTTTTTTTCAGACCCAAAGGAGAGATTGTGCATCTGAAAGACTGGCTACTTCTTCCAACAAGGCTGGCTGGTCTAGTGAAAGATATCTCTGCTGGAAAAGGCATGCAACATCTTTGCTATACAGTGAACCGGAAGTCCAAATTTTAACCATAACCAAGATATTTCCTCTTATGATAATACTTCATACGTATCTGCCATCACTGCACACCTGGCAGGTCAAGAGACAATCTGTGCATAGCTAATATCTTCAGTAACTAGCCCCCATATTAAGCCGCTATGAAATCTAAGCGGATCATTGTAGCCAACTGTTGATCACAAAGAATTTAAATTAGGCCTCAACACAGGAAATGGTTCATATAGCCAAAGTGCCTAAATCTGAATTCTTACAATCCTCCAAGCGGAGTGGGTTTCTATACTGAATGATAGTAATGGACTTTGGTTCATCCTGCTTGAAGAGGAATTATTACATACATTTACTCTCACATTTAAAAGTAGCCCATCTTTTGGCTGTTCCATAGAAGGTTTTTGAAACTTCTTATTTATTTCCTGTGCTAAATAAAAATTATAACATTATTCTAAAATTTTCTTTTGTTCCAAAGAGCTCTTGGGAAAATTCGCTTAATTCTAGGCAATTCTCAGAGAGGTTACAGCAATAAACTGGTAAGTTACATGTTCTGAGACACTGGATTTCCCTTCTAGGTAATACCATATTGAAGTGGGACAAGACACCAGGTCAGTAAGAAACAGATGTCATGGGAGCACTTCTAGTTTGCCTGAATGTAACATTATTTTTATTTATTTTCTGGAGCACTTTATTCTCAATAATATTTCCTTTACAAGTTCCGTTCCACTGGCACTTCAAAATATATTATTGTGAATATGTCTGACTGACACAAAAGTTGCAATTAGTAAGTTAACACGGGTCATCCAAGATATTGATAAATTCCAGTCATAGCAAACCGCATTCTGCAGATTCCTGTAAGCTGTAAAGTCTTCACTGTATTGCCTAGCAAAGATGAACAGAAAAATGTGAAGCATCCTACACCTCCAAGTTATGACCACTGCAGAAAACAGGTATATTTTTCCAATGTGCACTTTTAAAGAATCAATTTTAATCAACCAGTTTTAATCACTTTAAACCAAATCTGGTATGTCTTCCTCCAAATTCTTTTCATTTTCTATTTCTTTGCTTTGTAGAGGACTACCAATTGTTCAGTACCAGAGTTCAGTACCAGCTCACCGGTCACTGTCATTGCAGAAAGAAAAGGTGTCTGTGGGTGTACTATCTTACTACTATACTACTACTATCTTAGTACTATCGCAGTACTATTATGTGCTGGAATCCTTGTCTGCCCCAGCAGCCTTAAGCCATTCTGGAACCACTGTCAGCAGAGGTAAATAATTCCAAGAAAGGCACCACCTGCTGCTTTACCATGTTCATCTTCTGCCTCCTCAAGGGGTGTAGCGCAGTGCTCAGCCTTTGAAGCCAAACCTAAGCTATAAACTGAAATTCAACCTTTGGCTTTCAAGAAGAGGCATGTGTTAAAAGAAAAAGCTGAGGAAACACACCTTGGTAATGCTGGTATTGTGTCTAAGGTGCTGCACTTTCACATGAGAACCCCTGGTGTAAACTGGTAGCTCTGGCAAAGGAATCTCTCTCTCTATTCAATCCCTACATCAGCTTTGCATGGGGACAGGTTAGAAAACAGTTATTGGAAAACTTGAGAATTATATTAACACCTCCAATGTCAACAAAATTGTGTTAGCTGCTTAGTTAAAGGCTGAATAAAAATACCTCAGGAGAAAAAAGAATTCACTATTTTTATTTTAAAGGAAATCCAAATAATGATGCTAGTTTCCCTGACGTATGTATCTAAAGCAAAGAAACCCACATTTATTTAAAATGACAGATAAGAATTACAAGAAAAAGTACTTTTATAAATTTATAGGAGTAACAGCAATACCCAGAGAGATAACAAAGGGTTTATTACAGTGTGTGAGACAAAATATTTCACAGGCCATAGTGAAGAGATAGTCCTCTATCAGAAAACCTCAGACAATGTGGATGTTATACAAGTCACAACATGCAGATAAAGGAAGATATGCAATGAAATAAAACCCCATAAAAAGACCTTATTAGCTAAACTTCAAATTAAACTCAAATTATCAGAGCTAATAGAGATTATCCCATTTAGTGGCCTGTTGAATATCTGAGAGAAAGTCCTGGTGGCAGATTAACTGCATTTCCCAGGCATGGGCAGCTGCTCTGCCAAATATAACTCATATTTCTGTGGTGTCATATAAACAAATGAGTAAATTCAGTCATGGCAAAAGCATCAATGAATTACTTTCATTTTAATGCACTTTGTAGATTGAATTGCAAACCAAATCTGTAACTGGGTTTTATAAATAGTCCTGTGAGTATATTTTGTGTGATTCAAGGCTAGCCCATTTGTAGGGTAAGCCCTATACAAAGTAGGCTTTATCTACCTTTCCCAGCTATATTATAGCAAACATCACCTCTGTGTATAAACTTGGTCTTGCCTTAAAAGAAACATACGCTGAGTGTTGCAAAAAAGGCTGCAATCAGGGTTGTTAACCTCTGCCATGAGAAATCTGCAGTGTCTGTCTAATACTTACAGTGCACAGTACACACAGAGTAGGAGCAGTTGTTGAAATCCCACCATTAAATTAATTAAAGTTAATTAGTGAATCATATATAATAATTGTAAAATATATTAAAAAACTCCTAGCTGTTTGCATGGTCACAGATATTTTTCTGATGTTGCAGAGAAATGAAGATTATCCCTTATGCAGTAAAGAATGAAAAGTAATTTTCATTTATACGTTTGTATTATGCAGACTGTTGATAAGGAAGGGGAGAGAAAAAGCCAAGGCATTTACAAGTGTGTCTGAAAACAGCACTTGGAACAAGTA